CTCTTCAGTGTCGACTGCGTTGGATTGTACTTGATGACCTTGTAGGTTTGGTAATAATGCACCGTGAATAAGTTTGCATACTGGACTTGGATCCCATCACCAGATCTGATGAAAGGTGCTGCATCGGGAGGGCAGGGCGCAGCCGAGGCTGCGATGACGAGAGCAAAAGCAAGCAGCATGGGTTGTACCAGGTGAGAGCCTTGGGCTTTGGGTTCTGGACTTAAATGGCTCGAAAATCTTTGAGTCTACGAATGGAGAACCAAGTGCCTCCGTAAATTGCCAACCCGGGTCCTAATCACGTGCAGCACTTCAAGTGTCAACTTCCATGGCTGGGGTCAAGACTCTGCTCCAGTCTTCCACACATGGCACCTGAAACGGGGCTGGAATCTTCCAGAGTTCGGTTCCCAAGCGGCTTGAAATGGGTCAAAGTTTTAGACTCAGATGGCCAGTGCGGTTGTCGGCACCTTCTCATCAACCTTCATTATATATCCTTCATTGATTGGCATCAACATGCAATGACTGGTGCAGGCACACAGGTCAGTGGTTTGAAGAATGGCATCTGTAGTTGACCCTCATCATCCAATTCAAAGTACGAAGTGATCATTGAGCCATTCTGGATAACTTGGGTTTCACATGCTCGCACATCCCAGGACATGGACCTCTCCAGCTTCAAGGGCTAAACCGGGATAGCAGTGCGAACACTTCGGATGCATCTCACAAATCTTGACAAATCGTCAAACCTGATTTAACCATAGTTTTTCAGTTTTGGCACTGCTCCCTCAGCCTTTTTTCAATTACCAGTATATAGATAATATATATATATATATGGAGACAAACAGGGAGACAAACAAATTGACGAAGGAGACATGGGAGATGGCGTGCGGCAGCGACCAGTGGCCGGCGGCGGCCAAAACAACACTCACCCCCCGGACGCTATCTAGGGAACAAAAAGTGCATGCCTGTGCAGCCACATTGATAGGTGGATGCACATAGATGTCAGATTAAACTATCGGACTTTCCAACCTTATGGCACTGCAACACGAGGATATCCATGCAGTATTGCTGGACTTCCAAAACTTCCCATCAACTGAATGGTTGCATAAAAATACCTGCGATACCATCAGATACCTCTAGATTCTATATCAGTGCTACATAGTGCTACCGTCCATTCAGTGCATCACTTCCATATGATATGCCCTGCACTCAGCCCTGCCTACTCGGCTCATTGGATCTTGGCTTGTGCGCCAGGTTCCAGTTGCCATGACTTTCAGCTCCTTTGCCGTGACTGGGAAACGAACCGACTTTGCAAACCAAATTTCAGTGACTCTGAGTGACTTGCGCACACCTCGATGCAACAAAAGGAGATCGAATGGCGATGTCGTGACAATGCTCAGCATGGTCTCTGAGTCTGAGTGGAGCAACCCGGCGCTCGAACCGCGAGATCTCGGACACAGCATTTGTCACAAGTCCAAACGACTTGAAAGGACAGTTTGGTTTGGACAAGGGTGCCCAAAGGTGTTCTATACCAGTTCCAAAGAAGGCGAATTGTCACCCCACAGCTGGACGTCAGCATCCATAGTATCAAAAATGGTTCGCACCTCACATCTCTATACAGCTGATTGGCAGCTCCTAGCTCCCTACCAGCTCCGGAAAAGAAACAAAACACAAACAGTTCCTAGACGCTAGCAGTCTGTCAGAAGACCCTGAGGTCGAGGAAAAAACACCAGGGTCAATGAGGCAGCTCCCAACGCACCAAGGAATTCGGCCACGAGAGCAGCTGGTGGGAAAAGAAATGGAATCATCAAACCTCAGCCACCGATATCATGTTTACCCACGCAAAAATTGCAACACAGATGGAGTTCAAGATCAAAAGGTTGACACTTTGAGGTGTTATATGATTATATCTGAAAGGCAATGAGTTGAAGGTAAACAAACCACATAACAATGAATGCATATCAACATGGTTCAACGTGCAACTTTGGTATAATCTTAGTAGAAACTGATATACTGAGATATACTGAGATAATCTGAGATATAACTGCTATCCGGTGATCCTCCTGGAAATAATGCAATGTCACCGTTTACGCAAATACAAGACGTCAGTGTGTAGAAGTTTCTTTGCTGGGCAGCAAAGAAGAGTTTATCATTCGATGAAAGCTACTGCCAAGGTGTCTCTCATCTTAAGATATATATTTGTCACAAACAACTTTGCAATATGTTTTCATAACAAGCAGGGTACTTACATAAGGTAATGTCCGAATATCATTCTCGATCCTTGTTCCCAATCTCCACCGTTCGGTGCCCTCTATCACTCTTACCATGTCTTCTCTTCCAAGGCACCGGCAGAAGGACGCTGCATGTATTCCTGCCGGAAAACCCACACCACGATCAAACCCAAAAGGCCACCCATCACTGCAGATGCGAGAGCCGCACCCATGCGCTGCTGGCCGCCTGGTGATGGCTCGGACCAAGGTCTCCTAACATGACTACCTGTTGGGTATGTTGCCCATGAAATCCTTCATGTGATCACCGTGGTATTACGCTGATATCGGGGTCATCCATGAAGATCTCCAAAACTGAGAAATTCAGACACTGAAATTCTTTCGTATTCGATAACCAATCCCAAGGCCTTCAGCACCCCACGCAACTCTTTCAGCTGTGGATGCTCCATAAGCCGCAGCAGCTGGAAGTAAGAAGAATGCGAAGGGCCACCAATGAGCTGTAGCCGTGATCAACAGCAAAACTGCAATGACTCGGTGGGTCTCTTTGAAATATGGACGTAGCCAAGATTGACGCCTCGCCAGCGCCACCAGCACATGAGTCAGGAAGATGCCGGCGGCTGCAAGCCCAAGGATGTAGAGCAGGTTTTCTCCTTTTGCGTCACTGAGAGACAGGTTTTCAAACCCGCTTCGGGCCAACCACATAATTTCGCCAGTGACGTGCAAGGCACCCCAGAAAGCACTCCTGAAGCCGAGGAATTTGTGAATTGCCATCAGGGATGGCCGAGACAATTTCAATCCCAGCATCAAAGGGCTGCTCAATGGCAAAGCAACAAACGATAAATGCCAGCTGAGTGGAAATGCAGCTGCCACCGCCACGCCCAAAATGATGTTCAAGATGCCCTGATGGAAGAAGGGATCTGCAAGGAAGTAGGCCAAAGGCACCACAAACCACAAGGCTGACAAGCCGTTCCACAACATGGTAAAGCCATCGGTTCCACAACGAAGGGTCACCTGAGTCATTTCGTCCCCTTCGTCCTGGGGCTCCATCTCTTCGCTTGCAGTTTTGGTGGCAGCCATGCGTACTCCTCCCAGAAACATGGGCAATGTCCATAGGATCCTGACCAGTTGTGCCGCGAAACCGCGAAACCAGCGTGCCACAGCTATTTTTTCTATGTCTGGCTTCACTTCTGCCATTTACCGCTCAAGGAGATGTGGGATGTACTCCAGTTCTACTTCATTCATTTTAGGCATGTGAGTCTCATGTGAGTCATATCGTTTGATTTGTGGTCAGGCAGTGAATGAAACGTGAGATCCCATTAAAGCTGACAACACTATCTGAAACTCAATGCTGTAGAGATCTGCTTGGGAACGGCTTCAGACCCTAGTCACTTGTCAACTAGAAAGCCAAAGGAAGACAAAGTGAATTCCTCCAAAGCACATCTGTTGCTTCGATACTGAAACTATCCCTCATCCCTTCCAAATCAGTTGGGAAAAATTGAAGAAATAGTGATTTCCATCAGCACCACTATGCAACAGGAATCTCCGGCTTAGTTGCGATTCCTGTTGCTGGGCAAAGCTTCGTGCTTGAAGAGAACCCCCCTCGAAGCTGTTGTCGCGCTGTTTCTGCACGACACTTGGAGCAACTTCCTGAAACCCCTCCGTTCGTTGGCCATGGCTCAGAACCAAAATGGCCATGCTCGTGAAGCCAGCGACAATCCCTGGAATGAAGCAGTAGTTTTGCGTGCGCCCCGCAAGGCTGCTGCAAGTGCCAGGATTACCTAAGTTGCATAGGCCACCCACACCTCCTACACCGCCCACTTCCAGAACGCGCCAGAGGGAGTTGCGCAACGGTTCATAGAGGGCGGACACCAGCAGAAGGCACAATACTGCGGTTCGCATGGCTCTCAGTCCGATCTATTCCTAGTATTCCTAGTTGTAGTGAATAATGACGCATGGAAATGATCTGATGATGATAGTCATGATGTTGATGATGGATTTCAAGATTCTCCCTCCACCTGAACTGGTGGCCCTGTGCACTTTGAGAGCAAAGGAAAAACAGAAGAAATGACTCGACCGCTGCAGTGATTTCTTGGCCTTAAACATGTCGCAACTGTTGACTTCTTGTGACTCCAGTTTGCTCGTTTGGACGGCCATCGCCACCTGGCAAACTGCATTGTCAGCCTCAAGGAGATGGTGCGTCCTTGCGGAGCGCCCCTTGGACTGTGTAGCTCTCTCAGACCAATCGACTGGAATCACCCAACTTGCCAGCTCTCAAAGAACAACCCTTCAAGTAGATCATCCAATCGTTCGTTTCTCGTACACAAAGACCAATTGCACGAGGTGGCTGGGCCAAAAAACACACCGGTCCTGAAAATCAAAGAACTTCTGAGTGGCTATCCAAACCTCCTGCAAAAGTGTGGTTCGCGATGTTCTCAAACGGCGAAGGCGGTCGCCCACCCACAATTGGAGAGGGAGCAGAAGTTGCGAAGGTGCGCGAGATCGATGTAGGGTTTTCAAGGACAAATAGGAAGAAACAACATGAAACAACTGTGTATCACCTGGAGATTATGTGATGAATAGTCAACATCTGATGTTTGGATCTTGGAATGAATGGAAACACTAGTGGAGTCCGGCGTGGAGCGAACCTGGGTTTCCACTCGTTGATCTATTTTGGTCACAACACCAATACAAGTTAAAAGAACAACAAAACTATAGCCAAGGTAGATCAGGGTAAGAAGAATCTGCAATGTCTGCCAAACAATCCATCAACAAGCATGGCTGGCAGTCATAGCTTCACTGTGTCCACCAATACGGCCCCTCATCTCCTGCAGAAGCTGGGCTTTTTGATGCAGTACTGCATAACTGCATCGCCGCTCGGTGAAGCGGATAGAGTTCCAGCATCATCTCAACACTGTCGTGCAGCCATCGCAGGGAACGCTTGGGAATGCGACGGAACGGTTTGCTGAAAAAACTTCCGGCCACCAAGGTGTGGTTCGGACATCCTTCACCACCGAGGTAGGGAACATGTCCAGTCAGACTGTCTTGGTTCAAAGTGGGTAGGATGTCTGTGCTGTTGTTTAAAGGCCTCTCATCTGAATCGATCTGAGACGATCGCGGGAGCTGCTTAATGGCCCGCGCGTTGGTGGTGTGAAGACCTTCGGCCGGGTCGATACAAGCCTGGGATTTCCACAGCTTTTTATGCTTCCATAGACTATCAAGATTCCCTGTGATCCTTCCGATCGAACCAAGCAATGGCAATGAGATGAGGTCGCTCATTTTGAAATTGCAATGCAACACCATGTAGTAGTGTTTGATCTTCAGGATCTCTATTTGCTCAACGCTTCAATGCGGGATGAGCCAAGAAAAACATCTAGAATCTAGAGTAAACAGTAAACATGCTTCTATTGGTTTCCAGTAGCCAGGAGGTCTCTCAGAAAGTGTGCAGTTCTTGTTGGAAGGTGTGTAAGAAAGTAATTACCTTTACAAAAGACTAGCAGCTAGAGTCTTTTCTGCATGGCGGTTGGTGTCTTCTTCATTCTGGTCCATGGCGGTTGGTGTCTCGAATCGATCTGGGAGATCGGATGTCTGGAGCTGAAGGCTGTCGGCTTTGGTCTTCTCGAGCCTGAAACGGCTTCGCAACAACGTTTAGCTTGTTGCAACAGCAGGGGGTCCTTCCTTGGGGTAGTAGCAGCCTGGCGGAATTGATGATCGCAAGTGAAACTGAACAGTTGATCGAGTCTACCCGAGAATGATTGAACTTTTTTGCCCTTCTTTCAATCTCGGCTGAGCGTGAAAACCGCTCTTGACCGTTTATTCTTGGCCTCTAAGAACCTACAAATTCCTCTTTGTCGGCGTTCTTCACTAATGAGGTTCCTTTTGCTTAGCAAGTGGCTCCTACTCAACAGCCTCCTCAAATTCTTTGGCTCTCCTCTTGTTTAAGCCTGTCACTCACTTGCTTGATCTCCAACTGATTGAAACCCTGCTGTACCTCCAGCTGGGCAACTAAGCTTTACTAGAATCTATCTGGACACCTCCCGTTGAGCATGAAGAGCACATTTCGTGGCCCGTGACATAGCCCGTGAAATTGTGCCGAGTTTTGAAACAAATCCACCTTTAAGGAGTACAGTAAATATATTTGTCGCAGCCCCCTCACTGAATATATGAGCTGGAACAGCTCTTGAACCCAAAAAACACCAAACACATCCAAACACCGATGGAGATGAATGGAGGACCTTCTCCTTTTTCGCCCACAGCAAACGAAGCCTTCATGGTCGCTGGCGCAGAACTCATCACTTTGGCGTCCAGGTCCACCTGAAATCGCTGAGATTTGAGCAGATTTCTCCAACCACCGCCATACAGTATGCTTTTTCAGGGCAAACGCCGAGAGCTCACAGACATGTGCCACACACCATGACTACGCAGCAGCCGTTGCCACACACCATGTGCAAAGACATCCTAAAGAGGCAAACGTCTTTCTGCAAAAATAGGCCTGCCCACTCAGGCAAATCTAGCACATCACGACATATTAGGACATCTAAAGCAAACATAGCAAACCTACATGAGAATAGCATCTCGAAAACAATGTCTTGACACAAACACAACGTTTTCCCACAACGATGTTGTGCATGACGACCTTGTTGGCACACACGTTTACCCTTGTTGGCCACAGCGATGCTTTTCACAGAACCAAGTCATGGCACCCCCAAACCCAGTCGTCTCGCGTCTAGTGGGAAGACACGTTCCGGGGCTGGAATCCTCTCCGATCCATTCCGGGTGAACATGGGGAACATGTTAAGACAAAATAAGACAAATGCGTGGAGAAGAAAGATGGCAACATTGAGTAGGTCACTCGTTGTTCTTCCGAGCTTGCTGACAACCATGAAAGGAACACACGTCATATTGATGCATTGTCCATGGGTTTCATGGCATCCAAGATAGACTCGATAGACTGGGTCGAGGCCCACGACGGTTGCTTCCGCAACCTCAGTTTCAGGAAGTACCAGATCAACAGGGGGTGTCATTCTGGTCTGTCGTCCTACTTGGTGTCCCCCCGCAACACCGTTCTGCTGACCGATGTCGAACGCATCCCAACCCACCGCCCTTCCGCCCTGAAGGGCCTCGCCTCGGTTGGTACCGTCGTGGTCTCGTCCGTTGGGAAGGAAGCGAACGAAGCGACGTCAGCTGTTCAGAGTGGTTTTTCGTGGGGCGAGTGTGATGTCCGTGACGATGGGCAGGTGATCCGAGACACTACTGCTCAGCAAGTAGACCCCATCCACATCCACAGTCCTCAGACATGGAGTCGACGAGGACGGCTAAACTGGGGGGGGCTGGAGGTTCTCCGAAGCGTCAAGAGATGGCTTAAGGAGAGCCCAACGAAAGCCATTAAAAGGGCTTTTGATTTGGTATGCCTCTTTGTTTCCTGTTCGCGCAAGTGCTTGTGTTTAGCGGAATGGTAAGATCCCCAATGAGTTCTACCTCAAAGGCATCAAGCTTGCCTACAAGTGAGCGATAACACTACTCGGCCCGGCCCAGTTTTTCTGCCCTTTCCATGCGTCATGATCACGTGAACACCCTTTGTTTGTAGAGCATGATATTGGTCTTTCCAGGGGCCACGCCATCATATGCCATCCACTTCCATGTTTCTTGCAGCCCATCTCAAGACATGAAGGCCTTCTTTATACATGTCCTGCCTGCTTTGGTTTTGATGGCCTGCGGCCGCCTGCCTGCGCCCACCCAAAGGATCCTTCGCCATTCCTCCGAAGCCTCCGCTTGGCGCTGGAGCGTACGTAGGGATAATCTACGGTGGTGCCGGTCCAGTGGGTAAAAGGCGGTGCCTTGCTGATGGGCCAGTTGCGCTGGCGCGCCACGTCGTAGGCACCTGGGTCTGGGTTCGAAGCGCTAGCTCCGGGTTCGACCCCCCAAATTCGACGGGCGGTACGAGAAGTGTGACGGATCTCAAAGGATCAACACCCAACTACAGTGTGCCAGGTATGACAATCCCAAAAACAACAAGGACGAGTTAAGAAGAGGGATCCAATAAATCTATGCAATGTCTTCAGTGTGTCTATTTCTTTTGTGGAGGACAGGAAACATTGCTTCAAGAGACAAGCCAAAACGACAATTCTTGCCTGTGCGAGGTATGATGTTCATTCTAGCCTAGAATGAAGGGAGAACAACGCCGGCGACTTACAAGGAATGCATCAACAGAAAGTTCACAGCAACAGATGGTATCAATACTACCGCACTACCCTTCCAAGGCCATTAAGAGGCAGCTTGACCCGGTGTTGTAGTCGTAGTATCTCTAGCTGGTGGCTGGAATCCTAGGGAAACACACCATATATATATATATGTTATCAGATACAAATGCATCAGACATCAGCAAAGACGGCCCCCAAAGCTGCTGAAGTCTAGCTTTTTTCCGCCCAGTACGCTGTGACGACCCAAAAACTCAAACCAATTGAAGCCAAACACAAACAGGACCTGAAAAGTGCAAAGGGCAGCAAAAAACACATCGAAACAAGTATTCACTTCAACGGGATTTTTCACTTGGCACGCTATTCGCTTGAACACGCCAACAGGTACAAGCATGCGTGGCTGGCACAAGGCAAAGCAAAGAAACTTGTTTACCAGCAAGCAATGTCATCCCTCGTCTTCGGGATACCGAAGAAAAAACAAGCCAAACATGAGCAATTAGCATTGCTCCATCGGAACAGCGCGGAAACGAAGCAACGCGAAGCGCCAAGATGTGAAGCGCCAAGCGCCAAGCGACCAAGGCAGGCAAGTAAATAGGTGGTTTCAGATCCCCTATAAGACATCGTCGGGTATGTACAGTGAGCTTGTATCTGGGACGGTCAAACGACAATACTTGAATAGGCCATGGCTGACGGCAATCAAGAATTGATAAGTGTTTCTCAGCTGTTTCTTCATGTTCATCACCTTGTCGCGCGTGTTGTCTTTTGAGCAAAGCATGCATTTAAGATCCCGATGACATTCCCATGCCACTCACAAACTGCTTAATCGTCACTTTCATTGATTTTGACTCTAGCTCATGTGCATCAGTGAGTCACTACCAGGTGCGCAAGTGACGTTTCTGTCGCACGCGGCTCAGCGATCACTGCGCCTATCACAACTCCAGTACAGCGATAGAAATCTGTTCTCAATTGCTTTGGTGCTTCAAAAAGTCATCTTTGACTTTGACTGAGCTCAAAAATTAGTTTGTTTAATCTTTAAACTCACACATTCCCACACATTTATCTAGACCCCGACTTTTGAGCACCGACTTGCGTCTTTGGGCACAGCGGAAGTTGTGCTCGGTGAAAAGCTGGTGTACCCCGTCGTCCTCCGGCTGCTTCACGGAGGCCAAACCTCGTGAAACTGGGGAATGATCATGGTGTCGTACAGCATCATACAAAAACATCATAGAATTGGGACATCTAGTTCCTTTTAGGAGGACACTTGGTTTCAACAAGAATGGTCTATTAGATTATATATGTTTATCTTGTATTACCAGTATTATATATACGACCAACACATAAATCCAAGTCCTCAGAACTTTACAGAAAGACTCCGACCGACACGCTGTGCGCTTTGGCCATTGGATGCCATTGGCAATCCCAAAGGAGGAAGCAAAACTGCGCTAAGGAGGCCGCCAGCAGCTACGACCTTCCACTCTTCTTCATCGTAGTCTTGACGTCGAGCCTGGACCAAACGCTACCGACGGTGGTCAAAGGACCGGTGCGGCCAAGCCGAATCGGCTCTCTTCCTTCGCCTTCCGTTTGGCCAACGTTGGGCGATGATTTCCCAAAGCTTGAGCATGTCCAGCTTGAGCATCCACCAAACGAACCAAACCATCTACCTGCCCTACTTCTTTCCCCAATGGCATGGCCCAGCTCTTCCAGAACACCCTCGTCAGACTGAGTCGAGGTCCCAAAAATCCCGGGTCACCAAGCGGCCCCGGTGCGACGGAACCGCTTACCGGGCGGTCGAGGTCCGGGCCTCTCCGGTCGGTCGTGGCATGAATTGGGCAATCGAAATGAGAGTCCAGGCCCTCTGGGGCCCTCTGGGCCCGGCTGGTACCGAAGTCCGCACATGAAATGATCGAATTGGCCGTTTGAGCCGTTGGTGATTCAGTCCCATACGGCCGAAAAAGAGTTCGAAAGAAGCGTTTTGCGCTAGGGATGATGTGTTTCATGACAGGGATGAACAAAAAGACACAAATGTTCCGATCATCACCAATCATCTGACCAAAAAGGATCCAGTCGCCACTCCAACAACCTCCCCCCCAAAAAAATAAGGCCCGTTCTTTTCTCGACCGACTGAAGAGGTGGGAAAGCGTCCACACCTGATTGAAGTCAGAAGCCACAAGCACCTTGGCAAGACGATGTGGCCCATCCAATCCACGGTGTTTCTGTGCAAACAGGGGACAGATCCACTGGGCGCGGCCAAAAAACCGAATCGTCACATTGCCATCGGAGACACGAAACAAGACATTCGACTTCGATCTCGGAAACGGTGATCCCGGTTGAACCGACCCCCCCCAACGACCCCGGAAAAGAAAGACCATACCCAAACGCTCCGTGAGTTCCCAGCCCGACAGGTCCCTGAAAACCGGGATTGGTGCCCACCCCCGACCCCTGACAGAGTTCGGATTCGACCCCCGCCCCCCCCTCTGTGCGGATGTTCGGGGCCGACCTCGAAGCGTAGGCGGGAACGGTCACGGAACCGGTCATCTGCGCCACACTGCGGCCGCGCCACGGGTCCCTTGGCATGTTCCGCGTGCTTCAGCAACACCGAAGCTTCGCTGCGGCGGACCCCCTGGGCATCCAGCGTGAAGTTCTGGCGAGCGGGCGCAAGTGGGGCGTGTGAACATCGGGCGGAGGGACCAGGGTGAACTGGAGATGTCTTTTCTCTTCCCAAAAGGTCTCACCATGTCTCACTAAGAACTTATTGGTTTGATGAACATCAGAAGGATTCACCTGTCCTATTGATGAAATGTAAATGAATGTCTTCACAAAGAAAGGTCATCGACCATTACAATTCTATACACTTTTCATCAGTTTTCTGTTTAGAGGATTCACTGTTGGATCTATTTGGAAGTTACAAATCAAACGTTTAAAAGTTTGGAGGCTATTTGGTATGTGAAGCTGGAATTCCCACGCATATGCGATGTAGAACCCAAGTCGCTTCGGCTTCCCCCACAGCTCCTCATGGTGAAAATGGGTAGCGTACACGCTGATGATCTTGGCCGTCAGGTGGAAGATGAAGAGGATGGGGAATTGGCGAAGAGGATGGGCTGAATTCGACTGCAGCCTTGAGTAAGCCTTAAGAATATCAGCCCTTGAGCAAGCCTTCAGATACATAGTTTGGAGTAGAACGGCGTGCAAAAACACGGAAACAAACCCAGTCCCGGACAGTCACTCAAGCATCACACACAAAACATCCATTTTAACAGAATCAGAGACCTAGCTAAGTCCTATTGTGTCATATTAGTCCGGAGATCAAATACTCTTGGCAGGCGAACTCTCCCAGCTTCCCAACAAAGCTGGAGATCGATCTAATCGAAACAGAGGGCCTCCTATTGGACAGGGTTTGTGCAGCGCGTCCGAAACGGGGGGTCGTCGTTTCGGTTGGGGACCCAGAGGACCCTGGATCTCAGGGTGACGTCAGGATTTCGCACATCATTCTCAACTCAAAATGACTCCACGATGAAAGCAGCTCACAGTTGCTCACAGATGGTAGCCGTTTCTCAGGCTCCTTGCCCGGAATTAAACCCTAATTCTCCAATCTCTAGTTGGAACCCTTTCCCCACTCCTCTCGCCACTCGCCACGTCAGCAATCCCTCGCCATCTCAATCCCTTTCACCCCCCCCCTGCTCACCGCACGGGACGTGCGCCGTGCGGCGTGGTCGTCGCTCTGGTCCTCCTTGGCACCGAAGTGCAGCACAGCGTGGAGGGCGTTTCGCTCCTCGTCCATCTGGTAACGAAAGGAGTGCCTGCGGACGGTTCACGAGACGACGGCTTAGGCTTCGGCGAAGGCGAAACGAAGGAGTTAGGACATGGGACATGTTTTCATTTCAAACGATATATATATATATAATATACATTAGGCACCACTTAGGATATATATATATATATATGTACTTTGGTATTTGTTCTTTGATGTTTTTGGTATAACACCGGATGTTGTCACCTTGGCACCCCGTGAACCACGCCGTGCATGAACCACCGTGCGTGGTGCGAACCCCGTCGTGACGCGGGATCGTCCCAAGCAGAAACAACTGGTTGGAACCCATGGCAACCGCGTCCTGGATGTGTGTGGAACCGCCCCTGGAAACCCCGTCCCAACCAGAAAGACATGTGTGTTCCGGCCACCAGAAAGATCCTTTACATCACAAGTGGTGACATGTTGGGACTGGGGAAACATCTAGAAACCGTCCAGGTCGCACTCCAATTCCGTGCAGGAACAAGACCGAGCTCCTCGACCGGGGCACGGCACGGCCCGGTAACGGCCGAAAAAGACACGAGGATTCGGATCTGTTCATCCATCCGCCCAGGTGCAATGCTCTTGGGGTGATTCTTACAGAGAAAAGGGTCGTGTGCACATGCTTTTTCAGGGAGCTGTTCTTCTTCGCTCCAGAAGCCACTAACTGGCAAGGGTCGAGGTCGATTTGATTCGCTGACACACATTGTCAAGGCTTTCGGCAAACACGATGCAATCAGATCCAAGCAGCTCGATGTCCAGTGAGAGGTGCTGCATCTCCCTAACCCGGAATATGGAGCACAGCAAGGTCTGGCTGAAGCATTCGCTGCGAAGCTGTGTGGTGTACCTCAAGGAGAAGCAGCCATGTGGCGCAAGGGGAGTGAAACCTGTTGCTGTCGGGCTTGGAACTTCCAGACCCGGTCTTTTCAGCATTGGGCTGATGTTGAGTGTCTTTTTTGACCAAATGTTGTATCATCTTGTATCCCAAGGGCAAGGTTTCACCTCAGGGTTTCAAGGGCTTGCATGTTGTATCATCCACGTCTGGAAGGGTGCCAAGGAGGGGCTCAATGCAACAGTTGTCTTCGAGCTCTTCTGGGTGACATCAAAGATGATATATAGAATATATATATATACTATAATATATTATATTCGTACGAAGAAACGTTCAGTCCCCAAAACCACAACATCTTCTGAGTCCATTCCAGATCGGATCTTTGATTCTCCCCAAACCGGACAAGCTGGTCGGCTTCTCTCGCCAAACACACCGACCGGGAGAGAAAAATCCACGCCCTCCCTCGTCTCGCGCCATGCACTCGTCGCGAACGCCACTGGAGAATCCAGGTGGCCCCATCTTTCTCAGCTGATCCTCTAAGCGTCGCATCTCGCGGAAGGGAAAGCTGCTTCGCCAAGGCTCATACCACCAGGTCTGTGCTGGGCCGGCAGGGGCCTTCCAGAAAGTGAGAAAGACATATAAAGACTGGTGGATTGATGTGGATTGTCACCCAGGCGAGTCGGAAAAGAAGGCAATGGGAGGTCTCCCGATTGTGGGGAGCCGCTGGAGCCGCTTGTGACTCCAAGTCTTGATACTTGCGCCGACATGAAAAAGGCGTTTGGCTCCGCTCCCCGGCTACCTTACATAGATCCCGGACCTGCAGGGTTCTGTGTGAATGCTATAGGCGCTCAGGACATCGAAGAACTCCAGATCTGGTCCAAGAGTTCGTTCATATTTTTTGGAGGGTGATGCCATTTTTGGAGGTGACCAAGCAGGCACATCGGGCGCGATGAGGCACCCGACTTCCTTCTCTCTTTGTCCGGGGCAGTCGACGTTGAAACAGCGGTCTCTCGGCGGTGGCACCGAGCGGTGGTGGAACTGCCCCACCCGTTTTGGAATGATCTTGGGGTGTTGGCACAGATGGTAGCGGATGGCAATTTGAGATGTTGAACGGCCCCAAAGCGCGGAAGGCCCCAAGGCACCTTCCTTTTCAATTCTTTGCTTCTGCGCCGCATAGTGGCTCCGAGAGAGGGGAAAAAGGAAAGCAACAAAAGGACAAGAGGGAAAAGGAAAACAACCAGAAAAATGGAAAGGACAGGATACACAAAAGAATTAAAGAGTTAAAAGTACATTGAAAAGGGGCAAAGACAAGTAGAAGGAACAACATAGCAAGAAAGAGAAAAGGCAAGGAAGAAAAAGGCACATTGAAGAGTTTTTGTCCAATAGTTGCAGCTCCAAAGCCATTCCCGAAAGGAAAAGACAAGGAGAGAGAGAAAACGAACAGCAAAAGGCAAGAGAGACGAGCAAAAGGAAAAGGACGGAAAAGGTGATTATAGAAAGCAAAAAAGTAGGGTGGAGGCGATCGCTTCTAGGTTGGAGGCCATCGCTACTAGGGTGGGCCATTACTGCTAGTAACAAGAAGCTACTAGGAGCTCCTGGCATCGCTACTAGTAACAAGACGCTACTAGTGGCTATTTAAAGGACCAGAAACACTTGGATCACGCGAAAAGCACAGCGCTCGTGGGACCATCGAAAAAAGCGGTCTCGAAACACTTCAGCGCGCCTCTTGGAAGAGAAGAATATCAGCAGTGCTCTGTTCCTGACAAAAAACAAGGGCATTACTACTATAGTAGCTAGAAGCTACTAGTCACAAGGGCATCGCTTTCGAAGAGCGATGGCCTCCGACCTACTAGCGATGGCCTCCAACCTAGAAGGACTCCGAAATGGGTCTTCCAGGAAACAAATCATGCATTCTTTGTTTTGGGAAGACTACGGAAGGCCCACCAACCAGGAGGGAGTTAACCTGGGGAGTCCAATTCTGTACGCGCAATTGATGCAAGATCCTCCAAAGAGTATAGCATAGACCCTTGCTGCGAATTGGCACACATCGGAGATCGTCGGACGAATTCGACAAGAACAGGCCATGACGAGTGGAAGGAAACACCGGCCATTCTCTTCACCTCTCCTCCGTCCATTTTGGCGAACGAATGGCGAACGAAAAACCATTAGAACACTCCCGCTCCCCATCACTCCAAACCGACTGTCCGTCTCAGCGACCGGTCACTGACCTCGATTTGTATCTCTAGGAGCGATCGGACGCTACGAACGGGGCTCCTGGCCGTACTACTAGGAGCTAGGTTTGTATCTCTAGGGTTTGGTATCTCAAGTTTAAAAAACTATGTCCTTTCAGATCACGGCAATCGCAACATCAAACATCAGCACCTGACCCGGCGTCCAAACACAAGGGTCCATCTCGATTCCCGGAGACTTCTCCGTCGCGTTTTCTCCGAGGAGCCACCAACTTCAAGATCTCGGAGGCACTCTGAGGGTGCTGCCCATCAATGCCACAAAGGCAGTTCAGGTTCCATTGAAGGATCCTGCTGCCATTGCAGGTGCTGTTTCCAACTTCTTCTGCAACATCCGGTGGGTGAAATCCCTCGTTTCTCCCAATTCATCGAGGATTTGGGCCTTGGGTGAAACTTGCATAATATGAATCCTTTCCCACCTTAAAAAACAATATTGCAATTTGGGATCCTAGGAGCAAGGACGCTACTAGGAACAAGTGAATTCTCAAAAGGACTTCCATCAAATGGGCTCCGGTTTGAGTTCCTGCCCAGCGTGAGTTCACTTCGCTGGGGTCTTGGACGCTCATACCATGACCGCACTTGGTAGGGTCCTTGACCTGGTGACGGAAAGGTGCACTATGGTGCACTCACTGGTCAAGTGCTCTGAATTCCAACCTGATGATGCAGGTATATACAGGTACTACTATTCAATTGTAGATTGCAAGGACTGCATCTCTCTCCTGACTAGTCTCCGCGCTTTCAACCCTCAAAGCACTCAACTCGATCCCAGCGCTTTCCGTTCGAAAGTGGTGCATGAAAACTGGAACCAAGGTCACCAAATGGTCAAGCACGCCGCAATGCGATCGATTCACAGAATTCAACTCTCATGCTATGTCGTGGAGTCGGTCGCAGCACATCTCAAAGCCATTGGGCAAGGAAGCAACTAGACAACCAACTCATTTCTCCAGGAAACTTTACATGTGGAGATATACCTTAAAAACACATCCAGCAGCAAGACATCCTGGAGTCCCCCAGTGTCAACACCTCTATTCTGGTCTAACTCTGGTGGCTTGTGTTGGCATTGGAAGCTGACAAATTCCTGAAGGCCTGAGTGTTCTTTTCTCTCCAAGCCCTGTGGTGCCTGGAAAAGGTCTTGAGATCATGAACATAACCTCCTCTCGAAGGCTCTATTTTGGGGAAATGGCTGTGGGTCATGGCACCTGGTAACCCTGGTTTTTCCCACAGAACATGAACAGAACAAACTACCAGGGACCAGACATGGTCAACCTACGGCGGCCTCCGGGTGCGGTGGTGCACTGCCTCTCCAAGAGACCCTGCCTCTCTGCGAACTTTGCGAAGCAACCCATAGATCTACTGGCCAATAGCTCCGGTAGCTGATGAAATATGCCATCCACACAAAGAACATCAAAGGATATCAAAGGTATCTAAGATTCTCAAGCACGTGGTTCTTTTTGCACCTTGTGGCTTATACATCTCACCTGGCGCTCCACCGGACGCGCGCTCTTCCTGATCATCTGTTCGTTGGAACCCGAGGTCTCCGCGCGGGGCAGGGGCAGCTGGACCGTCTTCAGTTGTTCCCGGTAGAGGCGCCGCATCTCCGGAACCTGGCCGAGCCCATGGGCTTTGCTCCGTGCACGGCTTCAGAAGGCGAAGTCGAAGGGTCCGGTGGTGTTCGTGGTGTTCGTGTGGCACTTCGAACACCGGAATCAACGGATGGAAGTCGAACGCGGAGGCCATTTGGGGAGATGCGCCAACCACACCACGCAGCTCATGGTGAGGCCGGTGGCGGTTCGTGGGCTCTTCTCTGGGCTGGTGCCGTTTGTTTGCGCGAGACGTCCAGGGTCGCAGTTGGGTAATTAGGAACCTTGTCGCAGTTGTGCGATGTGGCGGTGTTTTTTGTAAACCTGGACTTAAGGCCTGGTTGTAGCTGGCAAGCCTTTTCACAACAGCTTCTCAAGCGCTGCCAAGAAAACATCAGACGAAGCTTCTAGGACGCGCTGCCCTCACACAAGCAACATGACATATACTACCCTGTGACACAAAGACCCAATAATACAGCTTGTGCGCAGCATCTAAATCACAGCCGAGCGAACATCAACCCGCTTGGAAGGAATGGCAAAGTATGTCACATCAATCATGCTTTATCATGCCGTTATACACTGTATACACTATACATCATATCCTTCCTGACATTCATTCTTTGTGTGTTCTGTGCCAAGACATGCAATCTTCCATCTAATGCAAAATAGGTCGACAAGCGAATACCCTTTCAACAGGCATCGTTTCAGTCGGATACGCGTTTCAGTCGCCTTCTCATGTCTTCGACCCTGACGGGCGTTGCAAACACCGATCAGCTGGCTATGCCGTCCCCATCCCCTTTTCATCCCTTCTCCTCTTCCACTGGTGTCTCTGCACTGAAACCAGCATGTCTCCACAGGGTGTGGAGCGCTAGGCGCTGGTGGACCGACCCGCAGGGGTTTCGGTGAGCTGGCGCGGTGTCTGGACCTTTGCAAACGCCGACCGGTCCGCTCATTGGCCTGCAGTGACCCCTCAAAATTCAGTTCCCCTACAGGTCCAGTTCTGATCCAGGTCCGTGGCCCTGGTGCGGCCATCAGCAAGAATTTCATGGTGTTATATGGTGTTTTTGTACCACCAACTCCAGTCAATTTTTGTTTGTGAATTCCTGACCTGTAGGGTACTTGGCCAGCCCTCAAGCACCGTGTGAGGAGTGTTTGTTGCAAAGCCGGCACAACCCGAGACACATCGCAGTGAGGCTCCATCTTTCCCGGTAGCCCAAAAGAACGGTCTAGACATACACCACACACGTCTGATTCGTCATCTTCTCCTGCAAGACCAGAGGATCCAAGCCACGGGTGAGCCGCAAAATTGAGTGAATTGAAACAAATTACAGTATATATTCGGACTGAAGCTCATGGATGCAATATTATGCATTCCACACGCGACAATTCCATCTGGCAAACGCCAAGCCAAATGAACTGCACAAAGAGCAGTCACAAATAGATGAGTCATTATTTCATTTCAAACTATGGCGCCACTTCCATGAGACATACCAAGTGCGACAAACTGGCACGACATACGATATTCTACGTCTGTGCTTTCACAACAAAGAGAATGCAGCTCCGAGGGTGCCTCGTCATAGGCTCAAATCAGCCAGTCAATGCCACAACACAATTTAGATCAATTTGGCCAAACTGACAACTCTGATTAATTGAGGTAAGGGCCTCAGTATCTAAGAGTATACCCCAACAAAAGTTGCCTTGCAACAATGTCGATGCAGCCTAAGCGCGATAGACTCATAGACCTGCAGTAAGTGATCTCTCGAGATAAAGTTCGTGAAGGTGGTATGAGTGCACTCCGGCTGACTCGACGATTTTATGATGCTACTAGTAGAAATGCACTTGTTACTAGTAGCTATTTGCTATATTATATGCTTATATATATATGCAGCGGAATTTATTTGGTACTAAACTCAATTACACACAATTACACTATCTATTTTGTGGGGGCCCTATCTCGTTCAGACTACTTTAGTAGCAGATCACACTATCTCGTTCAGACTACTTTAGTGTCCAGTGTCATCAAGCAAAAGCATCTTGTTTATGTGGGGGCCCTATCTCGTTCACAAGCGAATACTGATGATAGACAAGAAAAAAAATAATGCCGTAGACTACTCTATAGTAAAGCCTAAATAACAGTGGTTGCTCATATATACCATATGAATGGCATGCACTTGACGCCATGGATGTGTCAAACCATGCCACGGTCGGGCTTTTACAAACGAGAGATGCAACCAGGATCTCCAGATCAAAACTCTCCAAGCAACCGGTTGCCACGCTCAAAAGATCTGGTGCAGGCCGCAAATGCAGCACACCACCAGGAGTAAAGGACCCGTCAGACTCCCTTCTAATTATGGTTGAATCCACTGGACCTCATGATCCTGCAACCAGTTGAGCTTATTCTTTCATGATCCTGAAGCAGGAAGTCGCACAAACAAACCACAGACTGTGATGCATTGGATTTCAAGGCAGTGGATGCATGCAGCGCTCAAGCCGCGACAGTTGCAGCGAACGCGAATGGGAAAGGTTGTTGTACCCGCTGCGAGTACCTCTTTGCCCATGAGTGATTCCCAGGCAGCCCACAAAAACAATTGAAAAGAACACATGAAAAAACAACACCGTTAACAAATCATCCTTCACTCGATCTACTCAGTGCAGCATAGATGGCGGAAACACATCAAACCGGCCTAACGTTTTGGGCCAGCGGACCACAGTGCTGTCCGGAAATCAGCTGATTTAAACCAAATACCAGGATTCTTGCGTGTCCGGATGCCTCCATCAAGCATCCGTCTCCCAAATCCGAGATAATTGAGGCTGACCATTGAGGCCAGATGAATTGCACAAAGAGCAACCACAACTTTTGAAACTCATGGCAGCACATCCACACGAGTAGTAAGACCAGACCTACGACGAGTAGGTGTAGGTCGTAAGAAGCCATACACATGCAAAACAACTGCGGGACTTGAGATCTCAACGAAAACGCCCCGAAAATGCTGCTAATTAAAGGTGGTTTGTTTCATGGTGCCTCATGGTTGGACACATAACCCTTGCATGGCCGACACAGGCCACACCCTTGTGTTCATAGATACAATAGAGGCAAAGCAAACAAAAGAACAGTCAAAGGATCGCTGCAATAGAAGACTGCGCGACTCAAGGCCAAAGAAAGCCAAAGAACAGCAAAGCAAAGGCTTTTTTGCACCTTTTCTTGCACCATCGCCATTTTGGTTAGCGCGTTGTTTGTCTCTTGCATTGTGTATATATATATATACATACTACACACTCGTTACCTTTGCCTTTGTCAATGATCGCTTTCTGCAATCGCAGTGCATTGTGCATACTCCTTGTTCTGCAGTTGTTTCCCCAACAGTTCCAAACAATGTGGCTCCTTGTTCTCCACTCTGCAGCGGGGGAGCGGATTTTCTCAGCGTTGGACTGTGCGCGATGGATCAGTGGGGGCTATGCGGGTGGCATTGGATCGTGCGCGATCAATATATTCATGCCCAAATCTCCAGATCAAGTATATTCTAAAGCTTTGTGTCTAACATAGTCTAAAGGTTTTGTCGAGGTTGATCAAGTGTTGGTGATCATCAGATTCATATCTTGAGATTTGGATGCACCCATTCAAACAAATGGTTCCTGCACACGACCTGTTTAATCCTTACCCCTCCGGTTCAACAAACCCGACCTGTTTGCAGAAATGTGCGACCGTACAAATGCCACGTGGTTGCGAACATCTACCTGCAATCCTAGTAGCAACAAGAAGCTACTAGTAGCTCCTGGCATTACTACTAGTAGCAAGGTGCCTTACTAATCATGATCACTTCTGCAACTCTCACCCTGAGCCTCTCACACCTGTTTTATCTCTGCCTGAGTTCCTCCATTCTACCTCACCTTGCTGACAAACCTTGGGCCGGCCTCCCCCGTGTAGCACGCTCTTCTGTGACTCCGGCACGAGAGCCATGCCAGAATTGGGGGTCTAAGGATATCCTTGCAGCGACATGACGGTTGCAGCAAGAATTCTTCTGTAGTTTATTCAGTGGTGGATTTCACTCTGTCCGATTTCGACTCAAAAATTGCCACTGCCTAAGTCATGGACGTGTGCAAGCCATGCTCTAAATGGTCACGACGGACTCTTGCTAGCCGGGTTTCACGATGCAACCAATCTCCGGATCAAAACTCTCCAAGCGACCGGTTGCCAAAACCTCCCCGGAAATGGCAAATCTGCCGACTTTCAGGGGGAGTTCGCACGAGGTTCAAAGAAACTAGCCCGACCTTCAAGCCGGCTTTGGTGCCGCAGGTGCAAAAATCTTTGCAACTGGGGTAAAATGCTCAGCGCAGGTGCAGTCTTGCCACGATCTGACCTAAAGCAGGTGCAAGATCGTGCATTGAACCCGATTGCGTGTTGCCGCATCTTGTGCAAATTCATCGCCGTCAGCCGCAGCCTATGGGATCCTGTGGGCCCAACATTTTGTCGTCGACCACAGGAACTCCAATATGGCAAGAAGTCGAATTGAAACAGCTCCTTTGAGAGTTTCTACTCCCACAGTGGAATGAAGTAGATCAAGATTCCGAGGACAAATCCATCAAAGGAGTGCAGAATGCATGCTCTGAATTTTGTTGCAGGGTCTGAAGCGATCCACTATCCCTTCGTTCCCGGGCCATCAACATCTGAGATCTGCAGCTGCTAATCTGAGATCTGCTACAAAATTAGCTTCTAACCACCAAACATCATTAAACCCTTTCGAAGGTTCACCCTGCCTGCCGCGACATCTTCAGCAACTCAGGGACCCCTGGCACCAGCGGCATTTTCAGCCGGCCTTTGAAGCCCATGGGGCCTAAGACGCTTTAATCACTCCGTTTCGGCACCTGACTTCTGCGTCAAGGGATCCTGCGTAGGTCGCGAAGACGCGCAGGTCGCGACGGACGCGACGGACGCGAAGCGCCCGTGCGGGGATTGTTGTTCTTTGTGGGAGTGTCTTCCACCAAAGCACAGAACTCCCGATGGGTGGCGCACATGTTGGGTGACG